TCATCATGGTCTTCCTCATCCTCTCTGTGCACTCAGGCAATGATAGCCTCGATGTCCCTTTCCCATCCATGATCAGATTCCAGTCTGACTGCAGCAATGAAGGTCGTGATGGACGGCAGAGACAGGTGAAGGTGGGCACGGTTCATCAGAATAAAGCTGCAGAATTGGCACAGCTGTGTTGAGATGGCAGTAGATGTGGTAACGTCAGACCGGGAAAAAATGCGTTGGGCGGGTTGATAAAATGTGGGCTACTTTTTGATACAACTGGCGAGTGTTTCAGTTTCCGTGTTTGTGAAGCAGGAAATTACCGTAAATATTTCAGCGTGAAAGTCACTTGGGACAGATGACGGAATGTATCATTTGCACGTGTTTTTGAGTCTTACAATTTTAAACCGTGAGACTGCTTTCTGTGAGCTCACACCCAAAGTGCGCGCACATAGAGCCGCATCTGTGAACGCGCGACTAAGTTGTGTTGTGCCTTATTGCGCGTAAATGGCCAAATACATACAAAATTGTCAAAATGACCATCTTGATAAGTATTCACGTAAACAGCCTATAGCCAACAATGTTTAGTATAAATCGACTATTAAGTGAATGTAAACAGTTGAGAAACAAAACTTGGGTGTAACAGATCCGTGCATGAGGTCTTAAAGAGACAGCAACCTAAACGGTCTTCTGAAGCGAAATGTTGTGTTAGTTTAACAAAAATGTAGATTCTTAAAACTTTATAAACTGTAATATCCAACTTCCGGTCGCTCAAGCAGGCGCGTTCACAACAAGGCAGAGTGTGTGACGTAGGCGTAATGAAAGGCGCAACGTAAAATCCGGGGAGAAGACAGTGGTCTTGCGAGAACCAAGTTTTGTTTACGGCACAGGAAACCATGTGAACAAGTAAATTGTATCTGTTTTGATTCAAATGGTGTGTTCGTGTCAATACCCGGGATGTTTAAATAAGTTTGTGACAGGTGGTTTGTTAACCTCTTCTAGACTACAATGACAATGTAGATGGAGTGTCATTCAACAAAGCAATCTTCATTTTTCTTCAATCTTCACACATTCGTGTGTCATGGCTGAGATGCTTCATCTGAACATCAAACCAAACTATGATCTGGCAGATGAAGTGGCCAGAAACATGCCCTTCTTCCCTGAAGAAGAGAAAGTATTTTCTGTTAAAGGCTGCAGGTCTGTCAGACAGCTTCTCTGTTTTATTTTTCATGAGAATTTTGTCCAGCTAACACCAGTAAACCTGCATGAGCTGTTTTAACTAGTTGTCTGCTTAAAAACAATTTCACAACATTTTATTTTGCTACAGTTAATTATGTTTTTTTATTATTATTATTATGTGTGGTAAAAAATGCTTCCTGGTTTATTTAGATAGGCCTATTTGTTGACTTCACATATCTTCACATCTTCCAGGTTTGGAGGAAGATTTAAAAGACTCTCTCTTTGGGCAGCACATTGTGTCTGATGTTGTACTGAAAGCTGTAACATCATTTATGAATGACAGCAACCCAAACAAACCGCTGGTCCTCTCTTTCCATGGGACTACAGGAGTTGGGAAAAATCATGTTGCTAAAATCATTGCGAGAAACATTTACGAAAATGGGATAGAAAGCCACCATGTTCACACATATATATCTGAGCATCATTTCCCACACAAAGAAAAGTCAGACTTATACAAAGTAAGTAAATAAATTGTATTTTAATCCATGGCCTAAGACTCAAGTAATCACATGTAGACAAATAATTACTTCTTTATCATGGTCATCATGTTCTTTAAAATGTACAGTAAGATAGTCCATAGGACTCATGTACTCAGAGTTGGTTGGGCCAACACATTCTCAATACCAAATTATCACATATTGACACTTGGTCAGGATCCCTCGGCGTCACTTTTTAATGCTTAGGGTACCCCAGCGTGGCTTTCAGTTGTTTGCCATATGCTTATTTTTCGATGTGCAGGGTAGCTACTTCATTGCTTTCAATGAGAAACCTTTGGCATCACACATAGATGCAATGTGCATGGGAATGTCGCCATGATGAAATTACACATTGGATTAATACCTGTAAATAAATAATTGAACAATACCTGTGATTATGCCTGTTAAGTGTTTTATGTTGTTGAGAAGTGAGTAGGTAGGAGTGGGGTTAGGTGCTCCAATATCTATGAAAGTATGAATTACTTGTACTTTTATATATGCAAACAATTACATGCATTGTGATTTGATGCAATGCATGCCATCTTGATCATGCATAAGGCAAACAACTTAAAGCAATGCTAAAGGATATCCTGAGCATTAAAAAGTGACGCAGAGGGATCCTATGTGACGAGTTGGGAGTGAGAATGCCCTGGCTGGACAGTTAGAAATTTGGGTCATTTACAGATTCAGTATTTTCCTCAATTGATGTAGTAATCAAGTTGAATTTCATTTCTATTAAAGAAGTAGTTCACCCAAACATTTAAATTTACTCACCCATTTACTCACCCTTAGGCCATCCAAGAGAAGTTTGTTTCTTTAGCAGAACAGATTTGGAGAAATATAGCATGTCACATTAAATGGATGCTCTGCAGTGAATGGGTGCCGTCAGAATAAAAGTCTAAACAGCTGATAAAAACATCACAATAATCCACACCACTCCAGTCCATCAATTAATGACTTGTGAAGTGAAAAGCTAAAGTTTTAACTTTAAAGAGATTGGCCAAAATACCAATCCATAATAATACTTCCTCCATAGAAAAAGTCCATCCCCTGTTGTCCTCTTACATCAAAATCCACCAACATATTTGTTTAGAACTGTTTTGCTTGTAAACAGTGCTTGATCTGCATATTTCTCTCCTGGTTCAGATAAGACAACTTTTTAACTCGAGAATGATTAATGATGATCTTCTTCTTCTTCTTCTTTCTTTTACTGGCAACCGCACTTAACAGTGCATTACTGCCATCATCAGGTAGCTTGGATCAGAAACATTTCCTCTATCTCTTAACATTTTCTAACCCCCCCATTACAAAGAAAAATAAATAAATAAATACACTGGCAATGATGATCTTAATGATTCATTTGTTATTACAAACATTTAGCTTTTCATTTCACAAGACATTAACTGATGAACTGGATTCTTGTGGATTACTGTGATGTTTTTATAAGCTGTGGTGATTGCATTGGTGAACAATTGGTGACATAATGCTCCATTTCTATAAATCTTTTCCGAAAAAGAAACAAACTCTATTGATGACCTAAGGGTGAGTAAACTGTCAGCAAATTAAAATTTTTGGGTGAACTATGACAAAATTTTTTTTACCTGATATTAAACATAGTAAAATAAAATATTCAAAATGATAATATAAAAGTAAAAATAATCCACATTTTGTGGGAGCGTTACACATAATTCATTTCTCAAACAGTGATTTGCATGTTCTGTATATTCAGGCACAGTTAAAGCAAGGGATTTATAAAAGTGTTTCAAGTTTTCCCCGCTCCATGTTCATATTTGATGAAATGGACAAGATGCAACCACAGCTGATCGATGTCATAAAACCTTTTCTAAACTACAATGCCAATGTAGATGGAGTGTCATTCCGCAATGCAATCTTCATTTTTCTTAGGTAAAGCCCTCAAGTTTGATTTTCAGATTTCCACAAATAGGCTACAGTTGTAGTCAACATATTAGCTCTATAAAATTAAAACACAGTGGTAATTAAATGCCTCTACTGTCCCTAACGAGTGACACAACTAATTATATGCTGTTTATCTGTTTGTTTATAGTAATGCAGGTGGGAATGTGATTGCTGAAGTGACTCTGGATTTCTGGAGAGAAGGCATATGTCGGGAAGAGCTTTGGATGAACAGCAAGGAACTGGAGACTAAAATCTTTAGAAACATTTTCAATGATAAGAACAGTGTGTATTAAAAGATCATTTAAGTATTAAGCAAAATATATATTTGTAAATATATTTCAAAAGCTAATATAGATTTTCAAATATATTTCAAAAAGTTCCATTTACTTGTATTTCGTAATAAATTATTTGATCATTTTATTTATATATTTTCTAAATATATTTATTTAGCCCAAAACTAAAAATGTGGCTGCATTTACTCCACAATTAAATCCTTTCATTTTTAATGTGTATGTCTGTTCTACAGGTGGATTTCTGCACTCCAGTATGATAGATGAGCATCTGATTGATCACTATGTTCCTTTCCTGCCTCTAATGCTGAAGCATGTGCGTCAGTGTGTCATGGCTGAGATGGGCCATCTGAATATCAAACCAAACTATGATCTGGCAGATGAAGTAGCCAGAGACATGCCCTTCTTTCCTGAAAAAGAGAGAATATTTTCTGCTAAAGGCTGCAAGTCTGTCAGACAGAAGTTGGTGCTGTATGTCAATTAACAGATGAACAACTTTAGCAGCACTTGTTGTCCAGTTTATTGTTATAACTTTTTAACCCTTTCACTGGTGAGTTTAAAATATTCTAGCGGTCCCCCCAGAGTGAGTTTTTTTAGGCGGCTGCTATTTTAGAACGTTGTCACATGACACACCGTGGCCACAATAACACTGTATGACAGATGGATTGCTTTTATTTTGTTTTTCCTTTTTTATTCAAATTATTCATAAACTTGCTTACCATACCATCAACTATCTGATATTCCGATTCACAAATATGTGTAAATGAGTGTGTTTTGTCCTTTAAATCGATCTTGATCGTGATCTATAATGTGAGATGGGCGCCGCCATGTTTGCTTGCGCTGCAGTTTAGAGAGTCCTGTCAGTCGGATTTACAGCGCGTAAATGTATCAGTTTCTCCCGAAATACATGCAAGTAAGTGGCCGGTGAACTGGGAGAAGAATAGAGTGAACTTTATAGTTACTTACACTATGTGTATCTGATATTGATAAAACACGTTGGCAAATTATATTTGAATGGATTGTTATTGCTGCTTCCATAAACATCAGTGTGTAGCCTATTTCACGAACCCTAAATGTATTGTTTTACTTGTACTTACTTGTATTTAAATGTCTGAAACCTAAAATAACCATTATGTGGTTAAAAACACTGCATATTTGTGCTTATATGACAAGCAGTGGTCGAACTATACCGTGGACTTTGGAGTGCAGTTATGTGACGTCACCAAACGTTCTAAATCCCATATTTGGGACTGTACCATTCAACAGGTTAACACACAGTTGCACAGAAATTATATATGACCTTAATCTCTCCTTTGTACTATTAACTTATTAATATTTCAGTCTTGATGAGTTACACTGCTATGGAGTCTGGGTTGGAGTCACTATTATATTAAACATTTTAATCTAGACCTATGTCCAGTCTGTTTAGCTTTTAAATTCACGTTTTTTATTCTTACCTGATTTTGGAAGTAACTTAGACCTTCTAGTGTTTTCTGTAATGACAAAAAGCCATGATTATACCATCTTAAATGTTTGTTACTATAATGAAATACCATGAAAGAGCTCAGAGAACGAGAGAGAGAAAGGATGTTTTTTTTTTTTTTGTGAATCTGTAAATCTCTGCTAATATTAATGCCATTAGAACACATCACTCGGATGGATGAACTTCTGTCAACAATAGGGGTGTCATTAGACCCTTTTATGAAATACTGATGTGACCCAGTAAAATAATACTGATAAATCCTTATGTGTCGAATGTACAACTAACTGACCGACGAACTGACAAATTTAGGGTTAGGGGTCGCTATGGGGAACGCCTTCAGCGTGACAGGTGTCTGAAGCATACATCTAAACACGACAATAACATGCGTAACCTGAGACATTCCCTTCCGAGGGAACTTCAAACTGCGTCCTCTAGCGGTCGCTATGGGGAAAGGTATACCCACGCTGCCATGCTGAGGAGAGTGCATGCCAAGCACCAAGGCGAGCACTAAATACCAACTCCACCAAAGCTATGGGAGGTGCCCCTAGGATGCCTTGACGGCTGTCAGTGACATTATCCCCTTCAGCCAAAGGTCTGAGCTGCATACCCCAATAACTTACCTGTTAAGCACTGGGCTTGGAATGCCTGAACCCAGGGCAGAGCTCGAAGGCTTGGAACAAAGCCACAAAGGCTTAGAAGGCCCCTTGGGGCGGGACATGAGTAGCATGTCCTGGCTGGGTCAGCTTCTCGAAGCAAACATCCAGCCAGGACGTCAGGGAGCATGTCACAAAGCATTACACTCCGAAAATGCTCAACCTGAATGGAGGACCCAAGGGTCCTTGAGGTTGCAGCACTATACTGGGGACCTGATGACCAAGGAGGCTACAGCAGAAACCTAGCAACTTGGCTGCATGATCCAGCAAGCATGAGGCCAAAGATGTAGGGCTATCATCCAGCCTGGATCCAGTACCGATGGGTGAAACCATCACCACAATCGGTCGACAGCGAGAGGTTCTGACTTCCAACAGGAGGGGTGTAACAAACCCTGTAACAAAGTCAGAGGTACAAAGACAGGTCCAAGTAGCGCTGCGGAGAAAAGCTAGTTAGTGAGTCCACGTAAAACTAGCAATAGAGAAATGACATGGATCGCACTTGTAAGGTCCACACACTTGGCCCAAGGAAGGTATCCAGTGGTGGATGAAGGTCACTTGCGTGTTCGGTCTTTTCAGCGCGCAGAGTTATTCAATTTAGGTTTAACTGAAATCTGACTCCATTTTATTATCTAATCTGACCCCATTTTAGTATTACCTCGAATTTAGGTTGAAAGGCAAATTGGTTGTTTGTCGGTCTCTAATCATATGTGAGAGAGGCGTTTCCTGCACCACCCCTCTGTGGGGTGTCTTGAAGATGCCAGTGTATTGTCTGTTTCTCAGGAGATCAAAGTATCTGAGTTTCTTTTATCCTTACACACTCATCCACCACTGCTCCCTCGCATGACTCAAGTAAAAAAATTTATTATGAAGGTGAAGTTTGAAGAATACTTGGTTCAAGACCGTCAGTAGGTAGTTCTATGAGACATAGAAACTAACCAAAAAAATAGGTCCAGCATGAGAAACTGCAATGCAAGTGCAGGAGGCTCCTACCTAACTTCGGTCAGGTAGAGGGGATGGTGGCTTCAGGGGAATTAAGGGGAGGAAGATGACATCAGATGTTAATACCCTCAGAGGGAGGTGAGTAGATGTTTCAGGTTTTACTCAGGTCCGGATGAAAGCCTTGAGAACGCCTCGTCTGGATCCCCTCCCTCAAATCTTGCCTGCTACCCTTTGACTTCACGCCTCCTTTGAACCTTACCCAGAGGCGGGGGAGGTGTTGCGCGTGTAGCAACACTAGTCTTCTGCGCTCGTCTCTGATCCTTAGACCGAGACGGGCCAAGACCCCTTTGCTGTTCTGGCTCAGACCTGGGCCTTCATGGAACGAAGGACCTAAAGGCAGCGGAGCGCACCTTTGCCTCCTTAAACTTCTCGACCACCGTCTCGGGAGAAGTGCCGAAAAGCTCAGAAGGCGAAACCGGCGCATCAAGGAGAAAGCCATTCTCTTTTGTCCCGATATCCGCCAGGTTCACCCACAGATGTCTCTCTGTAACCACCATGGATCTGCCAATGGCAGTGCCAGTCTGCTTAGTGGCACGGAAAGTGAAATCCGTGGTGCGGCGCAGCTCAGCCACCTCATCAGGGGATAGAGCCTAACCCATGTCCAGGTCTTTCAGCAGGTCAGCCTGGTAAGCTCATAGCACTGCCATGGTGTGCAATAAAGCTGCAGCCTGACCGGCTGCTGTGTATGCCCTGTCATTCAAACGAAAATTGAAGGGGCTGAAGATTGGTTGAATTGAATATGTCTCGCCCAAAGAGAGCGGGATGAAAACGAATTTTTCCAGGCCTTCTCGATCTCCACATGGAAATCAGGAAGAAATGGAAGGCTCACTTGAGATGGAAGGCTATGGTCAGAAGGATAACGCTCATCGAGGCAGCCCCGAGAAGCCACTTTCTTGGCCCGCTTCGATGGCAAGTCAAGCCTCGCCGTGGCGCGTTCCATAACCTCAAGCAGCTCAGCGTACACAGGGCAGGAGGAATGAGAGGACTCAGTCTCAACTTCTTCGTCCTCATCTAGCATCTCCTGCTCTTCCTGGCTTGGAGCCAGCAGAGCACTAGCCGCTGGATCAGACGATGTGAGAGAAATAGCATCATCGTCCAGCAGCTCACTTTCATCCGTGACCGATGAGCGAGAAAGGGAAATTCCCATTTTCCACTCATCAGCCATATCATAAGTTTGAAAAAGTTGTTGGAAGCATGGTGGTGGTGATGTTGAAGGCGAGCGACCATGGTGGTGTGGTTCGTTTATAGCCTAAGTTTAGCTTTTAAGTTCTGGTGCTTTTATTTAGGCTTCAAAATTCATAAAAGTTATATTATTTTGTGAAGATTATCTTGATGGACAAGTTTCATGAATTATGATTGAACACAGAGCTTATTTTTTGCAATAATCCAAAAGCCTAAGGAAAAATCCTATTGGCTTTTTGTCAAAGGAACCAATCACTACGTTTACATGGACATCAGTAATCTAATTATTTACCTTATTCTAAATAAGCCAATATTATGATTATGGTGTTTACATGAGTTGCTTTTAGAATATTCCTTTCATGTTCCTGTTTTTTAGACATGAAAACACCTTAATCACATTATTAATGTCATGTAGGACTTTTCGCCGCATTTTGTGACAGGATGCACACACGGCAGTGGTCAACCGTTTGACAGCAAATAAAAGAGCTTCAACACCGCCATCGTCTGAATGCACGTACAAATAATTAACTGCACTTGAAGCTTTCATAAAATAAAAAATGAAACACCCAAAACTGTACATGGCATCATCGCGAAGACGATCTATATGTTTATGCGTGAAATTCCAGAGGGACGTCGGATGGCGTCACATGGGGACGTAATGACGTGTGCCATTAATCGAACTATGTACTATAACATGTAAAACGGGAACATGAAAGGAATATTCTAAAAGCAACTCATGTAAACACCATAATCATAATATTGGCTTATTTAGAATAAGGTAAATAATTAGATTACTGATGTCCATGTAAACGTAATCAGTGTGATGCTAGTCTCAGCCTCAGACGTCACGCCCACAGACCGTTGGCTGAACGTCTGATGCATACGGCACACAAAATTGGAAGCACTTCAGGAGTTTTGGAGTCGTCATCGGATTGGTTGAATTATACAGGATTTCCGGGAGACGCGGGAGACGTGTTCTTTAACGTTCCGCCTGGAACCAAATATACCGTAACGCCAAACCCCCTCATGTTAGACATGTTAGAAGGTGTTTACAACTGTGACAATAGGCGCTTATCAGGATCAACTAAATGCTGGATTTTCAAAAGTATGTGAAATATTTAAAGTTCGCGGCATAGAATCTTTAAAACAAGTTCAAGAGATTTACACACCAGTCTGTTATTGTGAGGACATTTCCACGCCCCTAAACATGACGCGGCACAAAACAAAACGTGATTGGTTGTTTTACCTGTCAGTGATATGGCCTCTTGGGCGGGCCTTAGCCGTTCAAAGAGGCCAAGGTTCCCAGCAGTGTTGCCAATTTAGCTACTTTGTAGCTAGATTTAGCAACTTCCCCGCCCCTTTTGAGACTTTTTGCAAAAGTTTAGGGACAAATATAGCAACTTCTTGGACAAACCTTATCTAAGTTCTCATCTTGCCCACTGATCTACGTTCATCTTTATATAGATCAGTGAATTTGCCATTGTGATGTCATCTAGTGACATTTAGCTACCAGTTTTAGCTACTTTCAAT